AGAAACGGTACTCATTATGGGGACAGAGCGTTTGTAGATATAAACAAATTGGACATACAAATCAAAACAGTATCGTGAATGTCAATTTCATGGTCTGATGATCGTTTCAGGCTGAAAGTAACAATCACCATGTAATGTTGATTCTCGTGTCCCTTCTCACCTCCTCCTCCTCCTATTCTCTCTTTTCTATACACACACAGACAAGCATATATATATATATATATATATATATATATATATATATATATATATATATATATATATATATATATGTATGTGTAATCTTAACCGAGATGACTCCCCTGTGGATTACAACGCTACAGTCTCACCGTGAAGGCGTGGCAAGTAGGATTTTTCAGGGTGTAGTTGCTAGTCCCACACCCAACTGGTTTTTCGAATTCAGAGTTATCCCTCTCCTTCACGGGTTACCAACCACAGCAAGAGAGACCAATCTGCCCCGCCATTAACCCCTGACTGGTGAGGAAGACGAGACGTATTCATAGAGCTTTCGCAAGGATGTTTGTGTGAAAGTGAACGTAACAGCCGCGTAAAAAATTTGAACATAAGATGCCCACCACGGTTTCCACAACGCTAACCGCTACGTTACAAGCACAGTCACCAATCCATAAATACACACATCTCTCTCTCTCTCTGTCTTTCCCTTCATATATATATATATATATGTTTGTGTGTGTGTGTGTGTGCGTACGTGCGTGCGTGTGTGCGTGTGTGTGTGTATATGTGTTTGTTTCAAAATTTCAGATAATCTAACTGTAATTGGACAATATAAATAAAGTAAAAGGAAAACTTATCTTAGCAGACGCGTTTCGTATTCTGAGGGTTTTTGTCTAGGTAAATGTAAGTATTTATATAGAAGAGAAACATGTTAATGTTAAAAATATTATAAGAAAACGGTTGAATCCATAAGCTCATTTTATTTAAGATATATAACACATAAATTAATCCAAAACTATAATAATTTAAATACTAATTTGCTTAAATAAAAAAAAAAATCACTAATTCACTTTTGTTTATTAGACATTGCATTGTATCACTTCATGTACTCCATAATTTGTAAGAATTTTCAGTTAACCTGATGAATATTCATGAGCGTTCCTATATTTCATTTTTTTTAAGAAACAATAATCTTGTATATAAATCCTTATTACAAAACAAAATCCTTGCAATTGCTTTGATAAAGTCCCCCAGAGGACGAAACGCGTCGGCTAATATAAGTTTTCCTTTTGTCTTTTATCGTATATATATATATATATATATATATATATATATATAAATTGTGTATATTTAGGCAGAAATTTTTCATTGATGTATGTTTCATTACATAAGCCAATATCAAAGATGACAATTACTTTTCAACTGTAGGTTTCAACTATACTTAAACATGAAAACAATAAACACAAACTAAAAATTCTTGAAACTATACACATAAAACAGTTGAAACCTAACCTGAACAAAATAAACTACGAAATCTCCACAAACATTCTTAAATGCCTATAACTAATAACAGAAGCCATTGGTTTGTACCAACGGCTTCTCATACTTAATACTTCTCATTTTCACTCTCGCGTGGTCATGTTTAACGTCACGAACTGTGACGCGATTTCCGTTCCCGCGTCTCGTATACACGTATTAGACGTTGCTTTGAAATTTTTCATGCAACAAAAACAGACTATCATTATTGTTCCGTGTATTGGTTGATAGACTGAAAAGTAATTGTCATCTTTGATAATGGCTTATGTAAGCCGAAAGCTTAGATTGGATTTAAACATGTATCAATATGGTGATTTCCTTTCGTCCTTCAATGATAATGTTATTAAACTTATCAAAGAATATGAAAGGAACTTACTTAAAATAAATAGACACTAGTTGTCTATATTATTTAATGAAACACACACACACACACACACACACACACACACACACACACACACATATATATATATATATATGAAGAAATATAGTTTTAAAATGTGCTATATTCATGGGATAAATTGCTCAATATCAGAGATAGAGCGTATGTAAATATAAATATAAAAGTGAATATTGTCAACACTCTGAGGCGACAGGCTGTTTTAGCATGGACGCAATATTGCGTCTAGCATGGAACAACCTGTCGCCTCTGGAATATTCACTATTTATATATATATATATATATATATATATATATATATATATATATTAGGACAAGTTATATATATTAGAACAAGTCAAAATTATATTTGTTTTTTTTTGTAAATTTCATATATTGAAAACAGTTTATAGTCTGTTCATTAATTTTAAAAATGTCTGTTTTATGTAAACTTTAATTATAATATATTAGGCCATCTGCCTTAATTAGTTATCTAGAAACGACTAAAATGGCGGAAAAAGAAGATCCATCTTTTATTTTTCATATGTAGCTTAGATGTGACACAAGGCCGAATGTATGTCGTACCCAGTTAGGATTGAACTCACTCCACAGTCGTAACTGATCTAACAAAACAAGCTTGATCACTATTACACCACGTCGAAGTGACCAGAAAGTGATTGCTTAAATGTGGCACAAGGCCAAATGTGTGGGACACTTAGTTAGTATGGAACTCACTCTTCAGTTGTAATTAATCTAACGAGACAAGATTGCGAATCATTACACTTCGCTGAATTACTCCTTGCAATAGCCAAGGTAAGGAATAATGTATTAATATTACAATAAAAGCCCATTTTTTCCTAAAAAAGATACGCAAACAGACGTCAATAAATTTTGAATTTGCTTTGAGAAGCATCATGTATAAAACTGAATCTAAATAACACATTTCTGTGAACAACGAATATATCACTAATCGTGTTAGTTTTGTTCAAGGTCGGAAATTAATTTTTAATCAAGCAAATTGTGCATTTCGTGTGAAACTTAAACAAAGAATTTATTCATATAAAACACTTAAAAAAATAAAACAAAATAAAGAACTGTTTACAATATATTTAATGATGATTGTAAATTTTGAGCCATACTAATTGCGGCAGAAATACTTCCAAAATTTTATCTTGTCACCTGTGTAGTGCTGGTGAATTTAGGTAAGTGGCAATTATGTTTTCATCTAACCAATATCTTAACATCTTTTGAGATACCATCAGTTAGCATCATAGCTTGAACCGGTACATACCATATCGCGGCTACAGATAGCTTGGACCGGCTCTGACCAGCTTGGGCCAGTTATGACAAGCGAAGACCAGCTCTGACCAGTTTAGACCAGCTCTGACCAGCCTGGACCAGCTATGACCAGCTTAGAGCAGCGACCCGAGTGAAAACACTCGGGTCCCCACGTTAAAAACTGACCTTGTGTCACAACCTGACACAGTGGGGGGGGCAAGTAAATATCCATACCATGCGTTTGCTGGTGAAATGTTTTTGAGACTGTATTTACAACACAGTGAGCTTTTCGCGTTTATTTCATGTTGCGTCGAAATGATGCTGTTCCGGATAGAAAATCGATGCTGCTATGAGATGAAAATTTCAGAGCCATGGGCTCAGCGCTTAAAAGAAATCCACGTAGAAGACGTCGAAACATTCCAACTTCCGGATGACGGAAAACTTTAGAAATTATCTACAATAGTGTATTGCAAATAGAGGCCACCATTTCGATGATGTCATTTATAACGCGAAATGAATAAAAACTGTATCCCTGTGTTTTAAACATCAGTGAAATAATTTTTTTAATAGTATTACCCTTGGTCTTTTTGTCAACCTTTAAAATGTGGGAGGAATTCCTGCCGCATCCTGTATAACCGGTTACTGAAGAAAAAAGAAAACCTCTCTCTTCACCTTTCACAAACAGGCACAGACACATTTAAATATTTATATACGGATATTATACAATGTTAGTTGTATTCCCCTATATAGTGGGCGAATGATTTAAATGTTAGGGTTCCGTCTATGGTTGACTAAAAAAGAAATTTTCTTCTTAGTCCAGCCTTTTATTCTCTCTTCAATCTAAATCCGAATAAAAGGAGAGATATATAGAATAACTAGCAGTCCTCGACTGGGTGTTTCATTACTGGGAATTTTTGACGTTCATTTGGAGCAGTTTAATTCTAAAGTCAGCCCACTCGGAAATCAATATTAGTAACAAAAATTGGGTGCAACTGAGGCACATCTCCAAATGGAGGTTAACAATTTGAATGTAGGGTTGTCCTGAAAAGGGCGGTTTTTGCCTTCTCAATCTTCCATGGACCGTCATAATAATAATAATAATAATAATAATAATAATAATAATAATAATAATAATATACAATAATTTTTATTTATGATTTTTTTTTTATAATTATAATAATTTTTTGCGTTAGATTTCAACTCTGTAAATTCTTTGTACACTCTTATTACAGACATTAAATTTTGCGTTTGATTTTTGCGCAAAGTGTAAAATATCAGTTTTTTCGATTTTTCACCTTCAAGCTTACAATTTTTTTCCCAGTCAATTTGGACTGAAAACCGGCACTGAAGAATTATCTATCAAAAAAAAACAAATTTCATCGAAATCGGATGAAAACTGTGGAAACGCATAAACAACATCCAAACACACACACACACACACACACACACACACACACACACACACACACACACACACACACACACACACACACACGAACACACACACACACACACACACACACACACAAAGAAACACACACACACAAACACACGCGCGTGCGCACACATACACACACACAGACACAAACACACACACAAACACACACACAAACACATACACACACACACAAACACACACACGAACACACACACGCACAAACACACAAAGAAACACACGCGCGTGCGCACACATACACACACACAAACACACACACACACACACACACACTGAGACTTATAGATATAGATAACAGATATGCATATTACATCTCTCGGTACCAATTTTCATATCGAAGAAACTTTTTGAGAAAATGATTTTCTTAATGAGTGGTTTAGTTATTAGCGGCTTAAAGCCATATCACTTTGAAAAAACCGATTCTCATACGATCACCGAACTTAAGCTACATTGAGCCTGGTCAGTACATAAATGGGTAAGCGCTTGGGCATAACAGGTGCTGCAATCTTGGATATTTGGGTAGTGTAAATGGAGAGCCGAGTTCCAATTCCCGTTGTTTTCGTTATATTTACTTACGGGTAAATACCCTTTGAAAATTATGGATACACATCTTCTCCCCCCCAGCTATGGGTTAATTATTCAGACTTGTATTAGTAAACCATTATTATCACCCCAAAAATATCTAAAATATATGCTGGTTTTAAATAACATGCAATGGGTTGATAATCAATAGAAAAACGAATCAATCAATTTGTTATTAACATAATTTAGACTGGGTAGCTTCATAGTTTAGTGCTGGATCAAGACGAAGACCATCCGTGTCGCAAAATGAAGAATTTTATTATTAGAATTTTGAATTCCGGGCTTTAAAATATTACACTTGTCAATATTAACGTTTTGCAACTTAATAATATCATAATCTCTGGATTTTTTTTATTATAAGACAGTTGATTAAATTTATTTACATGATTTACTTTCTAAAATTTAATTTTGCGTCTGATTCTTCACACACTATTCTACTATCCTGGGTATGACAATAAACACCATCCGCGTCCAGGGTAAGACGATAAACTACGTCCAACAGCAATACCTCTGATCAGAAGCTTTTGAGGAGCGGAGAACCACCTCTTAATTGGTGGTGTTCCCAGGTCCACCCTGACAAGGGATGGTATCACCTTTTTAGGTTCCCAGCTATGTGATAATAGTTAATCCCGAAACTGAGGTAAAAAGCATTATGTAAGTGTAAAAATATGTTTTAATACCAGAAATACTTTGTAAAAAGTTATTACCAGAAATGAATTTTTGAAGAAAAAAAAACTATTACCAGCAACATATTTTTGAGAAAAAAAAATTACCAGTAATACGTTTTTGAAAGAAAAAAATTACCAGTAATACATTTTTTAAAATAATATTGCCAGCTATACATTTTTCAGGAAGAAAATATTACTCGAAATAGACTTTTGACAAAACAAAATATTACTAGGAAATAAACAAGTTGTCGGCATTAAATAACCCATTGAGGTTGATATGCCGTAAAACAAAATAAACTAAACTAATCACATACTATTCTACAAAAAAACACATACACTTTTAAATGTCCATTTTTAACTATTCACTTTCAAACATATTTTAATAATTAATCAGTTAAGATATCAAATTGCAGTCTGTGGTTAATATGTCATGGTTGACGAGCTGCTACGAATATAAACACTTACACAAGTGAACGCCATTGTTGAATTAAATCATGTTTATTCATAGTGCTTTCATCTTAATGTAGATAGCATACAATATTTAGAATCTTTTCTTATTATTTGAGTGACGAGAATTGTATTAGGTTGGTGCATAATTATCAGGCGTTTTTCAAACAATATTTATTATGAAAAAAGAAACTTAACAATTCAGCAATAAATGATTTTCAATAACGAACGGCTTTTGTTTGTATACAAATTTCTCATATCAATATCTAAGTCTCACTTATTTTGTGCATATGATGCCCACACCAACCAAATTCACCAGCAGGAGGGTAACCTATCCAGCCCAGATCAAAATAACAGTAAATATTTTTTTATTAATTGTGATATATTTTTAAAAAATTTTCTAAGGTTCCGCTCATATTTTGATTTCCGGGAACCAACTGAACATAAAATATCGAATATCTTCTGAGAATTTTCTTTTAAATCAACCATCACAATACGAATGGTGACTGACAAATAAGATTGCAATATGTAAGGGAAATATTTTTGGTCTAAAATTTGTTTTAAGTAGTATTATATAGTCTGAGTTAAAAATAAACTTCTCAATCGAACCATGTAGCATTAGCGATTTTTCAAGCGTAGCTCAGATGTGGCACAATTATGGGGCACCCAGTGAGGATCGAACTGACTACTCAGTCATAATAGTTTTAGCGAGACAAGCTTGCTAACCATTACACCACCTCGAGGTGTCCGAACCATGTAGTATTATATGGCAAGTGTCGGCAACCTTTTGATAACTATGTGCTGACTTAGGGTTTTTGAAAACATTCTGCGTGCAAGAGGCATACATATTTTTATACAAGTCAAGGTCAATATACCTGTTCTTCAATATATTTTCTATAGTAATATACACTATATATACTTTAGTATATGTTACAATTGAAACAGCTAAATATCTTTGAGCTGTAGCAGTGATTGGTTCAAACTTCGTGATGTCATTTGCAGCTGCGTGCCGTTAGATATTACTTGACGTGCCACATGTGGCACGCGTGCCTTTAGAATTACTTGACGTGACATGTGGAGCTGATCTCTGTTCTATAGTGTCTAATTTAAAAATAAGCATTTCAAACAACTCAAGTAATAATATATATTGTGTGAGTTAAAAATGAAAATACAATTTTGAAGAGAAAATTATTTTATTTTTTATACAGTTTTCTGTATACTCTCTGGTTGTAAATATATTTTTATAGAATTGAAGCTAGATTATATTAATCAACTCTCGAAGCTGAAAATGTTAACTGTATTAAAAAATATGCTTGCAATTCTGAATAGAAAAATACTTCATTTTGATGCCAGCTTACTTATTTTATCGGTTTGTAAATGATTCTATAGGACAACTATTTTTTTTCAGTTAACCAGAGTAACGCAAATAGTGCATATTAAATGAAATATGGCTACGAATATATACCATTTTGATACCAATTTCCTATATATCTTCTTTTAAAGCTCTGTAGATTATTCTTTGAAATCAAACGCCGTTACACCAAATGCTGACTATTAAAAACGTTGTATTTTTTCAGAGTATTGATTGATTGCAGGTTATTTAAAGACCAGAAAATGTTATAGGATTGTAAGAATTCCTTTAGAGATAATAATGACTTACTGTCACCAGTCCTATTAATTAACCCGTACATGAGGGAGAAGAGTGGGAGTTATACCATATCCAAAGTTATTGGTACGTAAGTGACTATAACGAACACGAGTAGAATTGGAAATTGGCTATCTGACTTCCATTTCCGAACCTTTATCAATTACCCACCTTATATACATCAAAGTTAAAAGTACCAGGTATTCCTAAGCGGTCAGTCATCTAGGGACTGACTAGACTTAACTACAGTGATCGTATAAGAACCGGTGATTCAACGTGATTCAACGTGATTTGACCTTGAATTTTTTTTGTTTGTTTTTTTTAAAGAGAAATAATACTTCATTCAGTTTCATAATTGTACTTGGTTTAATGTTAAAAAAAATCGATGACAAGGATCATTTCAAAACAATAATTGAATCGTTGATAAAGGAATTTCCAGAATTTACCTTATTCACTTACAAGGCTACAATTGCGTAGCTCTTAGTAAAGCCTGAACTATTTTAGTATTTTTTTTTTGCAATATTAGTGCGCTAACCCTACACCAAGGCGTGGGCCGTATTAAGTCATTGTAATGTTCGCAACTGATATCAAATTATTAGACACAGTTTGTTAAAAATGAAAAAGAACGCTTAGATTCCAAAACAGACAGTTGAAATTTAGGGGATACACAACGAGAAAAAACTGCTTGGAGAATTTGACACTTCCAGCACATAATGATAGCAAGTTAGTAAGAAGGAAAACAGCGAATATCTAAGAATCCCGTGTTAATGGACAAACAGAACATGGACTAAGAGCGCTAGTTGAGCGATAAATATTGCTTAGAGAAACAAATGATGGGAAGTTGTGTAGAGCCACGATCACCCTCACTCTCAAGAGTCCTGACACATAAAAAAGAAAAAAAATTCTGAGTAATCCTTAGCTGTAGTTTACGGGAGAAGCGCTTGACTTAGGACGGCAAATTTTTGTTGACAAGTAAATGCAATTGTAAAAATAAATGTATTTAAAATTTATTCAATTCCTGGTGTAATGTTATTAGAAAGCTTGGATTCAAAACTTTTGGATTAGTCTTCGCATACACACACGCACGTACACGTAAACACATATGTTATATTCCATTAGCAGCCTATTGATAGCCTTCCTAAGAACTTTTGTATATGGATGGAAAAATGGGGACTAGTGAGGCGAAATCCTTCAAATCTATAAATCAACCATCCGTCCTTGCATGGAATATTGCTGTCATATATGGTCTGGTGCACCCACTGAACGTCTCCGGCTCATCGACAAAATGTAATGACGAATATGCAATGTGATAGGTCCTGATCTGGCATCTCGTCTACAATCGCTTTCTCACAGACGTGATGTGGCTTCCCTCTGCCACTTCTACAAGTATTTTCACGGCAACTGTTCTGATGATCTACTTTCGCCGGTTCCCAGACTGCATGAGTTTAAGCGAGCTACTAGGCTGGCATCTCGGTCCGAACCTTTCACTGTCGAAACGGTTAAATATAAGCGTCTCTTCTACTCAAACAGCTTCTTTTCTCGCACATCCCATCTGTGGAACACCCTTTTCCTTGCTTGCTTCCCTATAATTAGTTTCTTCAAATAATCAAGTGTCATGTCAATCGACATCTGATAACTTGATCTTGTTCCCCGTCCTTCTCTTCATCCTTTCCTCAAACACCCCCTCTTTACTCTTGTTCCCAATCCTCTGTAACCCCTTGCGTGCTTGTGGCATTCCCGCCTTGCTTAGGGGGGAATTGCTTTTAAAAAAAATTGTTTACAGTCATGATCGCCGACCTCTTTGAGGGATATGACGCATAAAAGTACGGTACATAAATGGGGGTTACACCTTTTTATCGTTCCCCCCAAGCCACTAAGACACAAAGGGTTACTGAGTGCGAAAGTATAAGAAAAATGAAAAGCATTATTATGGAAAAAGAACAATAAAGGAATATGTATTAAGAATGCAAGATAACGATTGACGTTGTATTTACATTTTTGAAGATCAAAGTTGACTGGAAAGCAAGAAGCCGGAAGGGAATTCCACAAGTGAGAAGTGCGATAGAAGAAACTGTTACCATAGAACCTATAGTTACATCTAGCCATTTTGAACTATACAATGATGAGACCTTTCCGCCAATCTAGTACTATGCGCAAATTTATA